GCGTTGATTTGTATGGAATTTAGAGCTGAAGTTATCAAACTTCTTGTGTCTTGGTGTGATATAAACAGTAGATATTCTATATAGATCTAAGAACTCAATAAATAAGGAAGTAAGTCCTGTAACAGTCTTGGTAAAAGAATCAACAAATTTATGGAAGAACCGTTTTTATCAGAATACAGAGTTCTTCACTATCCTCCTCAAACAAAAATCAGGAACACAGAACGCAGAAAAGGTAATAAAGGATACAAATTACTCTTCTGGGTTCTATTTTTTTTGGTTCTGAGGGAATTTAGCCATTAGTGAACAAAAACTAAAGGCACCTACCGAGAAAGAATCTCACAGAGTATACAAAGAGATTGGCTTTACAAAGGTCAAGAAAAAGGCAGAGGTATGTGTTACTTTCACCTATTGAATGATCAGAACCGTCGGTTATTGAAAGGTCGAGTCTCAGATTCATTTGCTGAGAAATCAGAAGAGCTTTTGACAGAGTGATCTCCAGTACTGTACATTCCTGACTCTGAGCTATCATCAAAGCCAAACGCCATTTTCCTGAACTTCATGATGTCTTGGTTGTATTGCCCTGAGTCATAAGTTGTGCTTTGTCCAACTTTGATTCCATTGCTAATATCTCCCAAGTCTCCGTCGCTGTCCAATGCTCTTACAACCTTATTTATAAAGGAGATAAGTTTTTAGATGTGATGAAATTGGAATCAAGAACTGTATAGGGCAGTCACTTGTTGCTATATATGTGAGATTTGGGCTTTGGTTAGTCAGAATGTTACCTGAACCATGCGTGGACGTTTTGGACCAGAATGTCTAACACAAGCAGCGGCTGTCTCAATCATTCTAAAGACTTCATGCTCTACATAATGCTTTTCGAGTCGACTATCAATCAGTTCGCTGAAATCTCCGGTCTCAATGGCTTTGAGAAGGAGTGGGCGTGCCTGTGAGTTCATGTGCAAGTAATGCCTGAGTAAACTAGAGCCAATCTTATATATTGAAGAATATTTGAAGATTAGTTTATTTACCCATTCGACCAAACTCTCTTCTCCTAAAGGCTGATTCTGGTCAACTGGTTTGCGTCCCGTTACGAGCTCTAAGAGAACAACACCGAACGAGAAAACATCAGATCTATCAGTCAGTTTTCCACTTGATGCATATTCAGGCGCAAGGTACCTGAACATAAAACATGTTAGTCTTGATGCCTATTATGCAACCATTGGATCAATAAAGAAGGAAAGTATTGTCTCAGGCCAAATAAAAGAAACTTAGTCTTTAAGCACTGGATCAATAAAGAATGAGCTGTGGAGTAGAGTTTGTGATGAATGCTTGCTTACCCGAAGGTCCCCATAACGCGAGTTGATACGTGAGTTTGCGTTGTATCATTAAGTCTAGCAAGTCCAAAATCAGCAACCTAAACACCGGAAATCAAGAACAAGTCTCATCAAACTATAACTTTACAGAGTCTTAGGATGGATACAAAGTAAGAAGGGATTTCTTAATTGCCTGAGCTTCATATTCATCATCCAGTAAAATGTTTGCTGACTTTATGTCCCTGTGAATGATTTTCGGATGACCTGTAAAAAAAAAGAATTGATTTACTATGAAGTGATTAACAAAATCATACAATGAAAATTTGTGAAGGTTGTGATTCTCTTTGCATCTAGACTATTAGCAAGTGGATGAGAAATTACTTACAGTCTTCGTGCAGATATGCCAAACCTTTGGCTGATCCTATAGCAATCCGGACTCGCTTAGACCATTCTAAAACCGGCAGTCCCTTTCCTATCGAGATAGAATGCGTGAAGTGAGCCAGTCTAACAACTAAAAAGTCTAATCTATATCAGAAATGGAAAAAAGCCACTCACCGTGTAAATGATGATCCAACGTTTGATTTGAAACATACTCGTAGATAAGCAATCTATGCGGGTCTGAAATGCAGTAACCGACCAGAGAGACCAAATGACGATGGTGAACACGGCTGATAGTCTCAACCTCTGCGTTGAATTCACGGTCGCCTTGTCCACTTCCAGCTTTAAGCTGCTTAACCGCAACAACTTTACCATCATGTAATGTACCTTTGTAGACGCATCCAAACCCACCTTCTCCAAGAATGTTTTGACGAGCAAAGCCTTGAGTTATCTCCGCGAGCTCTTCGTAGCTAAACTGAGTCTGGCCACTTCCGAGGACCGCAGAGTCAGGTGTGCCATTATTATATTGATGACCACCTCTTTGGCTCCCATAGCTGTTTCCCGTATACGATTGTTGCTGCGAATTATACATTGTACCACCAGGACCTGAGTATGGACCTTTACCAGGATCTTGACCGTATGAGAATCCATCTACATCAAGCAAAGAAACAAAAAGGCTGATAATTTTATAACCCAAACACAAAGATGATTAGAAAGATTTGATTTTTACCTGATTTTACAGAGAAATTAGAGTGTGGCAAGTACTGTGAGTGTCCATAGCTATCAAGGTTTCTCTTTTTCTTTCTTCTAACTAAGAACACAATAGCTATTAGCGCCATGATTGCGAAACCGGCTACAGCCATACCGACCACAGTCTTCCCTTGATAACCATCTCCATTGCTACTACGGCTTGGTGAAGAAGGTGTTTCTTTGGTGGGTACTGTTAGAGATGGAGACACAACGGGTCCATTGTTGAGTTTGGGTGGTGGTTTTGCGTTGAATGGGGTCGGTGGTGCGTTTGGATTAACCGGAGGTGAATTGATTGGTCCTGATGGTTGGATTCGGGGAGGTAATGTTGGGTCTGATGGTGGAGACGGAGGTGAATCGGTGGGTGTAGCTGGAGGAGATTCTGACGGTGGGTTTTCCGGTTGTGGTGAAGATGACGATGATGGTGGAGGAGGAGACTGAACGTCATCAGGAGGCGGAGGAGAGTTATTACCGGAATCGTTTGGAGGAACCGGTGGTGTTTCTGAATCCGTCGGAGGAGAAGGGGATTTAGTTGACGTCGGAGGCGGTGGAGAATCGGCCGGTGTAGAATCGGAAGGTGGAGGCGGAGTGTCCGTTAATGGAGGTAGAATCGAAGGTAAAGGAGGAAGCTTTGACTCGGGAGGAGGAGGCGATGGTTCTGACGGCGGCGGTGGAGGGGATGACGAATCTGATGGCGGAGGAGCAGATTTTTCCGACGGTGGTGGAACGGAATCTGCCGGTGGTGCTGGTGGTGAAGAACTCGGCGAATTTTCCGAGTCTGACATTTTTTGTATAATTCTTCTTTTCTTACTCAAAAATTGATCCTTTAAACCCAAAAATTTCAACAGTTATCTTAAAGTCTATTTCTTTCCTCCAAAATCCCTTATGGGAAACTACTTATATCAATGAATTGAATAGTAAATAATGCCAAATTCCAGAAACAATTGAATTGAATAAATGAACAAACAAACAAAAATTAGGGTTTATAAAATGCAGGACCTGGAAATCAGGTGGAGAGAGAGGAGAAAATGCGAGCCAACTGAACACGTTAATGGAAGGAGAACT